GAAACTGGACAGTGATACGTAACGCAGTTTCCATTGCCCATGTTTAGGTATGCAACCGGACGGCGATGCGTAACGCGGTTGGCATACATCAGTTTTGACACCAGGACGATGATACATAACGCAGGTGATCATAACTCATGTTAAGCGAGCAGTGGCACCAGCTAAGTCGAGGTAGGGGCCCGTCATAAGATAAAAGATGCAAGATACCCATAATTATAGTTCAAGAACTCCTAATAATGTACCTCTAATAATGTACTAAGACAATGCATCACATTTGCACCCATATGCATGTTGCTTGATTTTATATTATATATGTATAGAATGAAATATAGGATTAGGACTGACCCCAACGCCTGCATTCAGGAGCTGCAAGCAAGCAGGAGTATTCGGACCATCGACTAAGATAAAGTTGTTGCTCGAGATGTCATCGTCGCAAGGGTTAGTGATTTTAGAAGTTTCCAAACGAACCACTTTCACTTATTTAATCTTATTAGTAGGCTTGAGACTGATGCTCATTTATGATTTTGTAACGAAATATTCCTACTGGTGATTTGAAATTATTTTATGATATTTTAATCATTCTTTTGAGGAATATTACAATGCTATATAGTATTGGTGTTATAGGTTTTTACCTTTTGGTACAACTTGAAATTGTACTTTTAATGTTAGGGCTGGCTATTTGGACCGGGACCGGATGAAAAACCGGAAACCGGACCGTATAACCCGGACCGGGACCGGATAGTAAACAATCCAATCCAATCTTTGGGCTTAGATTTAAGGTAAAAAAACCGGATAAAGACCGGATAAGAGAGCTCAACACCCAAAACTTAAGGGTAATTTGCATAAACGGTCACAAACCTTTGCACTTAGTACAAAACTTAACCAACTCCTCACCCTTTTAGGCCTTAGGCCACTCAAATTCCCACAATCTCAATATAAAATCAAGACCGAATTGGGACCGGACCGGGTCAAGACCGGATCAAGACCGGACTGTATCCAATCCAATCTTCGGTCCTTATATTTTCAAAAAAACCGGACTGGACCGGATCAATTTGGGCCAATTTAACCGGACCGGACTGAATAGCCATACAACTTCATATTGTACCTATACTTTTTGTACAAATTCTTTTATGGTACAACTTAAACTTGTACCTTATGTGATGGTACAACTTCAAGTTATAAAGTTGTACCATAACATAATGATACAAATTCCTTTATGGTACAACCTAAACTTATACATTTAATGTTATGGTACAACTTCAAGTTGTACATTAAAGCACCAATACTATATAGCATAGTAGAAGTGCTCCATTCCTTTTTCTTTGAATAAATTTTGATTTCTCGAGGGCAATTTGGTAAAAGTAGTCGGTCGGGCTAGGGTGTTACAAGATATGTTAAGAAATAAGAATACAGATAGATCTAGCTATCATGCAAAATCAAATGAAAAAAAAAATGTTTTAAACTAGCCCAAAAAAGGACTATTTTTGCCACATAATAGGCATCCCAGTTGGTATAGAGGTGGCAAATAGATTGATCCATGGATTGGTGGATTGAATTGGTGGATCAAATGGATTGGTGGATTCATGGATTGGATCAAGTGGATTATGCATGAATCCAAATGACATCCTCAACTAAGGACCAATATGTAAAATGTGAAAAGTTTAGGTACTAATGTCATAATGAAAAATTTTAGGTACCAAAATGTAATTTTCCAATGATATTTTTCGTATATAAAAAATTTGGGTACAAAAATGTAAAATATAAAAAGTATATGTACCAAACCATAATTTGCCATTTGTATCCATGGACCACCAATCCAATTGGATTTTAATCAAATGGATTGAATTTAAATAGATTGAATTGGTTGGTATATGGGCAAAGGATTCAACGTCGCATTTCTCCGTTGTGCACAAATTCAATAAGTTATATGGGCAAAGGGAATAAGGTATTTTGCGTCTTTTGTTGATCAGGCGACACTCGAAAGTGGTGGATATATTTAATTGGTTGGTGGATTGGATTAAAAATTGCCACCTCTAAATACTAGTACGCACCACGCTAAATTCTACTCTAAATCAAGAGTAACCACCATGAGTCCATGACCATCTGATAAAAATCTCTGAATTTTGTACCGTCAATGACATCTAACCTGTGTGCCCAAACATCTTAAACATTTCCCTGTGGTCCATCCTCAAAAAAACATGTTCAACCGCTGTCTGTATATCTGTATCTAGATAGCGCAAAGAGACATTGCCAATTCATCATAAATGCCCATTTTCCAATACCGCTTTCATTCGTCACACCATTGTATCCAAGGTTACTGATCAAAAGAAGGCCATCTTGCACAGCTAGGAGATCTACAAGGCAAAGATTGTATCCAAGGTGATGAATTCCAGTCACGAACCGAGAACTGAATGTTGGGATTTTTAGTAGTGTGAATGAAAATGAAAGGGGAAAGATTCAAGAGAGTCTCTTGAAGTATCATGTTGGTAAGATGTGGGAAGGCACGGCGTCGAATTCGATCGATTTGATGTAATATGAGGTTAATTGGTTTGTGTAACCAAATGAACCAAACCGAGTTGAACCAAATCGAACCGAACTGATAAGGCGGTTGGAAAACCAAACCGATCCAACTACCATGGACCGAACCGATGCAATGGTTCATTATTTTAAAACGAACCAATGCGTTGGTTGGGGTGTAACCACCCATACGAAGAGTTGCCTCCCTTCGTAAGCACCCCTTCTTTCTCTATAAATAGCACCATACCCCCTCTAGATTTAACTACAAGATATAGATGGATTTTTCCGGTACCAAAACTCTGCTAAAATCCAAAACTAGTTTTCTGCATTTATTTCAAAGAGAAAATAGAGTCAATTGTGGTTCTCGCCGGTTCGCTGCGTTCGATGGGTTCCGGGGTTTGAGGTACCGCTACGGCGGAAAAGGTACTTCCTTTCTATCCTGGGAGGAATCATTCCATAACCTTGGGTACTAGAGGGGAATAAGATTCCTTAAGGAGAGATAGTGAAATCTATCGGTTAGGACGCTTGCATGTGTCTTTGCATGCTTTTCTTAATCTTATATATTTGCTTGTGTTGCAAGAAAATAGTATACGTGAACAATTTCCTCAACACTGAAGGGGGCAAAAGCTTGGGCATATAAACTGTCATGAAAACATATGGAGAAAAAATAGATTGAAGGTTTGTAATTTTGATCACTCTCCTAAAAGTGTTATTTTCCCCCATTAGGTTATTGATGGTAGGAATTAAGCAAACCACCCTCAGGAGTCTTCCAATCAAAGTCCAAAAGAATCAATCTTTCCGGACTTCTATGTTTGTGTTCTTGAGAAGGAAAACGGGAAGAAAAAGAAGAACGTTGGAAAAACAATCTTCTGACCAAACGTCTTTTTATTGTAAGACAACGTCAATTCCCTTCTCAAGGGCTACATCGTTTCACAGAACTCAAATTTAATTAATTATTGATATTAATCAATAAAAATTCATTAAATAGCCAAAAGTTTAATACCGAATGCTATGTGCGTAATGCGATTTATCTCAAATTAAATAACACACTTTTCCTCAAAGCCTATTAACCACTTTATTCAATAAATTAAAATTAAAAACAAACTTAAAAACCACTGTACTTTACTTCTCCCACTAATATGATATTTTCACTAACTATTTTAACTACTCTAACATAAACGAATTCATGGACTCGATGGGGGAATTGTGCAGTGAGGATAGGAGGAAATAGAGTATGCCAAAAAAAACTATTGGGGTGCGTTTGGATACAAGGATTTGGATTTGGTATTTGTGATTTGGATTTTCAAATACCAAATCATGTGTTTGGATATTAATTACATTTGGTATTTGGATTTGTGTCAAATTCATGGGGTGATTTCCAAATACATGTCTAGTGTATTTTTTGTCAACTTCAAATACATTTCAACAACTAGTGATTTGAAATACCTCCTAACAAAAGAATGGACCTATTTGTAAAATATGAAAAGTTTAGGTACTATAGTGTGAGGCAAAACATATAAAGGTACCAAAATGTAATTTTACCATCAAAATTTCAGGACCTTTTTGTAAAATTTTAAAAGTTTAGGTACTAAATTGTAAGAAAAAATAATTTCAGGTACCAAACTGTAATTTACCAAAATTTGTAGTAAGTGGCCAGAAAATTGAAAATTGAAAATAAAAAATACAAAAATACAAACAAATTACAAATGAGTATCCAAACAATGAATTTGAATTACATGTATTTCAAATGCTAATACTTCAAATACATCCATTTCAAATGCTAGTATTTCAAATACCTTACATTTAAAATACACTTATCCAAACGCACCCTTGAATTATTCAATTTCCTAATTCTTCAGAATAAACATTAATCAAAAGGCTAAAATAAGAAGCGAATGTAGACACAAACATATTGTGAAAATATGTTTGAATGTTTTAGTGTAGTTTTGGCGGAAAAATAGATAAAAGATGCGCACGAACATATTATGAAAATATTATACCAGTCAATTTTATTCAATTAAATTGGCAATTCTCTGCAACACCATCTGGTTTTGGTGATATTAGATCAGCATAATACTAATTGAATTTTTCGTTTTAATTTATTAATAGGATTACACCAATATGTTACTGGTAGAATCATAATTATACCCATTAGAATAAAAAACAACTAACTTATATGGTAGCATTTTCGATACGATCATTCGTAGTCGATGGTCACTGATTAATTTTTTTTTGGATCGATGATTGAGTAAAAGTTACTTATCTTTCAGACGCAATGAATTGCTTTTCTCAACCCTAAATCCACATTCCAGAATCCACATGCATCTCTAACAAATATAACCGTGAGAAAGAAACAGAAAAGATTAATGATGCAAGAAAATAAAAAATACGTAGATTTAAATAATTTACTAATATTATGTGTGTTATAAACGTCCATGGATAAGAGAGATAAACTTCACTATAAGTGTAAAGACACATTTTACAGCATACGTAGACGAAATCTAGTAATTTTCATTCGACGACAACAATCCGAATTCAAATTATAGCAACAACAATCTTTCTTTTTATTTCAACACAAACACAACATTAACGATAGGAGGGAATTCACAAGTCACTCATTCCATCCCCTATCGTACGACGTACACACATATTGAAGCAAGCAACAACACAAACCGACAATAATGTCGAGAGAATACTTGAACACCAACAACACAACATAAAGAAAGAAAGAAAGAAAGAAAGCAAGAAAGAAAACAAGACTTCCACACTATAATTAGCTGCCATGCATGAGATCTCCTTTCACCACTTATACTCTCCGACAATACATCCCCATGATGACGGCAAGCAACACAACGTTCCACCCGCCGGAGAAAGAAGAGCCGCCGGCACCACCCGTCTCCGGTCCCCCTGCACCGTCCAAGATTTAAAAAGAAAAAGGGTAATTTAGAAGCATAAAACCTAAGATTTTAGGTTTTTTAAACTTCCAAAAAATAGATTTTGGCTACAATTTTAAGTAAAAGCATGATTCTAGGTAGAAAGATTTTGATATCCTGAAAGTATGAAAGTTTAAATTTTCAAGTTTTAAAACGTAAATTTGACTAGAATACAATGATTACCAGCAACTAATGGAAAACTTGCTGGTTATATCAAACACTTGACTTCATACAACCTCAGTACCTAAGAGAAGGTAGAGAGGCTACGCAGCATCACCTGGCGCAGGAGCGCTCGCCGGGGCATCTCCTCCTCCGCCGCTGCACCTGCTGACGGGCGGGGTCTTCACGTTACACGCCGCGGGCATCTGCAGAGCGATCGTCTTGTTAATGGAGACACCCAAAGAAGCAGCTCCGCCGTCGAGCACCTCGCAGAGGCACCTCGGGTTGGAGCGGACGACGTTGGCGAGCTGGGAGCAGCAGGAGGACGACGGAGCGGCGGAGCTTCCGGTGACGTAGCTGACGCAGGGGGCCATGCTGATGAGGACGCTGGTGCATCCGCTGGATTGTGCGTCGACGGCAGCCCCTGCCCAGAGCAGAGCCACCATCATTAGACCCACCGATTTGATCAGACCCATTGCAGTTTATTTTTGGATTTTGCTCTGTTTCTGAGAATTTTTGTGGGTCTGGTTGAAATGTGGGTTGCTGCTCTGCTTTGGGTGAGTGGAATTGTGGGAAGGGAAGGGGGGGATTTTATATGCAGAGGTTTGGGGGATTGGTTCGGTGAACTAAATTGGAACCTTTGTTGGCCTGAGATTATATTAATAGAAGAATTCCAATTTTGCCTCTACGTAGCAATTTGCAGCCGTGAAATGAAATTCAACGGCAAGAGGGCAGCGGCTGACGTTGAGTTTGCGGGCGCCGGAGTTGTTCTGGCGGTACATACATGTAACGATTAAGATGCGGCTCTGATAACCTAACACGACGGCGGTAATTTGATTGATTGATTGATTAATCAATAGTATCTTTGGGGTTTGAGTTGATTGATTAATCAATAGTATCTTTCGTTTGGCAGTGCCTCAAACGGCTACTTCGCTAAGTTTGTGGTACTATCTCCTATGGATTGGCCATCCGGCGATCATCTCTTCCTATGCGCGTCACTGCCTTCGCCGACTCTGACTGGGCCGGGAACATTGATGATCGCACCTCCACCTCCGCCTATCTGGGTTACCTGGGCTCCACTCTCATCTCATGGCGTTCTCAGAAACAACGGACAGTTGCCCGCTCTAGACAGAAGCTGAATATCGTGTCATTGCCCATTCGACTGCTGAGCTGGAATGGGTTCGCAATCTCTTACAAGAGCTTCATCAACCACTCACCGAGTCTCCTACTGTCCTCTCAGATAATCTTGGTGCCACCTATTTCAGTGCCAATCCGGTTTTCCACTCTCGCATGAAGCATTTAGCTCTCGACTATCATTTTGTTCGCCAACTTGTTCAGTCTGGCCGTCTCAGTATCCGATATATACCAATTGCGCAGCAACTGGCCGACATGCTGACCAAGCCTCTACCCGCCTCGCAGTTCTTGCTTCTTCGGTCCAAGATTGGAGTCGTAGACACCTCCTCCATCTTGCGGGGGCGTATTAGAGGAAAAGAATAACAATTCTTTTTATTTTTGTGCCTTTTACTCGGCCCTCTCTCTCCCTGTAACCTCTCCACTTCTCCTGTACTTTCTCCACTACCCATCATTCTCTCAACTGTATCTCCTGTAAAAGTGTATAAAACAGAACTCAATAAACAGAAGCAAATCACGTTGGATTGCATTCTGATTTTTCTCAACAACAAATCCTCTTTCCCAACATGGTATCAGAGCCTAGAACCGAAAGGTCATGTGTTCGAATCTCCACGATCCCCAATATTAACCGTTGTCTTTCAAGCACATGGTATGGTGGGCCTGTGCAAACGTCAAGCCGTGGATTGACTTTCGTTTGAGGGGGCGTGTTAGAGAGTGGTATAAGATCCAGCATAACCTTCTTCCAACAACTCGAGTTATTGGGATCAACTGGTTCTTGACAGTGGTTTCTTCTCGTGGGTGTAGAAGAATTGACAAGGATGTACTCTTGAGTTGAGGTGAGGACTGAGGAGGTGTTTGTTTGCTGGTGGCGTGGGTCGGGTCAATTGGTTTAGCTCCAACTATTATAGCCCATTTTCGGAGCCCAATGTTTGTACAAAGCCGAAGCCCAGTTTGAGAACCAAAGTGTGATCCAAGTTCCAGCCTTCCAGCTTGCTAATGCTATAGTCCGATTGTTGTTCAATGACATGGTTACTTAATATTTTCTCAACTTACTAAAACTGTCTTTTTTTCTTTTAGGGGTCGTTTGGATGGATTTATTGATCACGTGGTATTTGTGAGACGAAATAACTCACTATTTGACAATTAGGTATTTGTATGGTATTTAAGTGATAATTGGATTAAAATGTCTTGTTTGGCTCAAAGAGTTAATTGTGGTGTGTTATTCTATAATATTCAGTTAAAATACAAACCTACCCTTCTTCCTACCCTTCTATTGAAAGACAAGCAGACAACGAACAAAGATGCTTGCTACAAACCAATGAAGAAAATTGGGGGAACAGAACCAACATCAATTCCACACCAGTCCATCCCAATTCCCAGAACACTTTCCTCTTTGCAAGAAAAACATCAATCCACCTCACCAAACCAATAATTTACCAACCCAAAACTCCAAAAAATCAGATCTGTACAACTCGATTTACAGTTTCCTCAAAGCCGCGAAAGTCTACGCGCTTTCCCCGCCGAACCCAACAAAACATCGCCTGTTTCTATCTTTTTCCCTACTGTTTCACTTTCCCCTCCATTTACAAAACTTGCAGAAGCAGTCGAGAACCTAAAACGCCTCGTCCCTGGAATTCTCGTCTTTGAGTGGTAGCAGCCGCCTTCAAGGAACAACAGAGGAAAACAGAGCAATTGGAGAGAGGGAAGAATACGAAGAGGTGAGAGAGATGAGAGTGGTGCGTATCTCAAATCGGACCCCCAGAGTTGTGCTACCGGCGATTGCAAAATCCATCACTCTACCGCCAGCAAATTCAATCGAAGACGAATCGACCCACTGCTATTGCTTATGCTGTTGGCGACGGAGAAAAAGGACCCTCTGGCCCATCCAATTGCCGTTGCTCACTAACGGACGACCACTCCAATGAAGCTCTTCCATCGCCGCCAGCAGAAGAAGAAATCATCGCCGATGAAGCTGTACCGTCATCGCCGCCTAGGGTTTCGCCTACTCAATCGGATCTGCATAGAGAAAGGAATCTAAAATTAGTAGAGGAATTGATTTTGCAGCAGTCGATTTTGCCTTCGGAGAGAAAATCGAACGAGAAGAAAGGAGGAAGAAGGAGAGGGGGGAGAGAGAGAGAGGGGCAGAAAGGGGCACAGAAAATCCCACTACGCATTATTTACAAATAACACGGGGGTGGGTGGTATTTAGAATACCGCAATTCGCGTTAATTATAAATAACTCGACCCCCAAATACCGCAATTCAATTTTGTGAATCCAAACGAGTTATTTCGGCCCAAATAACTCATTGTAAGTTATTTGGGCCGAAATAACTCATTGAAATACCCTATCCAAACGACCCCTTATTATACGAGGAGAAATCCATTTTGCGACGTTAAACACCGGACCCATAGATACTCGACAAACCCTGGGATGTCGATCTAAAGAGATTAGGGATTGTTATAGGTGGTTTGAATGAGTTACTTGGATTTTGTTCAAATAAATCATTGTGAGTTATTTGAACCACAATAATTCATTTGAATAAATAAAGTTGGAATGCGGTATTTAGACCATGAGTTATTTCAAATAACTACATAGAGGGTGTTATTTTGAAATAAGTCGTCAGTGAACTTTTTATTCAAGTGCATCATTATCCCTCTAGTGTTGTACAACACAGCTGAAGGAGTCATAAAGCTTATGACGAAAGTCAGAAAAAAACCTAATAGTATAAACTTCAAGCAGAGAAATGAGAAATAATTAGATTGGAGTTAAACTTTTACCTATTGGCCATGGCATCCAAGAAAGTTATATGAATATTGACTCCATCTGAGACCTCTTATTGAATTGCTCCATAATGTGCATTCTCAATGTTATGCTTACTTCAATTGTTACCATGTTTATTTGTTTATTTTTATTAGTTAAGATCATTTTATTTATCAATGTGCTTTCTTAACATAGATGTGCTTGTTGCTTCCTCTCTTTACATTTGATTTTTCAGTTTACCGCAATGCATTGCTAAGTAAAACATTTTTTTTTAATTTTTGTATGAATGAGTTATTCTCTATGATTATTTTTTTAGTATGAATCCAACATTTTATTCCAATATTTTTAATTTTTGTTGTATACACCTTGTCATATATGTCTTATTATTCGTGTTATATTATTAGAAGTTTAATGAATTGTTCTACCAAAAAAAAAGTATAATGAATTGGATTTTAACCCAACACGTGATTCAGAAAACCTAATAGGGTCATGAAATTTATCATTGGTATGGGTTTAACATTACTCAAATCAATTCATTGACTGGGTGATCAGACTCAACCCGAGCCAACCAATCCACATGCATTCCGCACATCTAAAATGAGGAGGAAAAGGAATATGAGGACTAGAACCTAGAGCAATAGCATGATGAACCAAGAAGTCTCCAGGCCCTATTGTTAAGAATAATGAATTACTGTTTTCATTAATAGCATTTAACCAGCCGGGCAACCATATGCTTCGCCCTGCATTAAAGGCTGCACTATTCGTTGAAGATAAAAGTACATCGAACCCATATGAAGTTTTACCATGAGCAGATTGAATCCATTGGGCAAATATGGGTTCAATCAAGATTTGTTTTTCCGGAGTCCCGAAAGCAAGCATGACATCATTATGAACATAAAGTCTAGGGTGCTAACATCCCTTAGAATTAGCACAATGTTAACATAATTTATTAAGATATTAGAGTAACTACCTACTCATAGCAATACCTCCCCTAGTTCTAAGTGATGGATTTCATATACAAATTATAGTTTGAACATATAAACATAAATTACATGTAATCGCCCAAAACGGCTCTGTAAATCGGCTAAAATCAGAAAATCACATGTTCATATCAGAAAGCGAAACATTCAAAAACTTTAAACTTAAGTTAGTGTTACTACAATGGTAACAAATTGGATGTTAACACCCTAACCTCTTTCAAATGATAAATTGTTAAAGACATATATTGGTATTTCATCTTAATTGTTATAGAATACCACATGTTAAATGAATTCAACTAAACAAGTCATTTGAACTCAATTGCCATATAAGTATCTATATCTATCTATCTATATCTATCTATCTATATCTATCTATATCTATATCTATATTATATATTATGGCAATTCAAAAACAATCTCTTGCCACATAAGCACTTGAAGGATCCACAATTTGCCAAGTTGGACAATTTTTTAACAAAAAAAAAAGTTATTAATGTATTTATGGAGCTACCTCTCTCTTCTTTAATATTTCCATTTCTTTTATCCATTTATTCTTTTTCTTTAATAATAAGTTACATGTTAATAAACTTAACCAAACACACATTAATAATAATTTTTCCAGTAAAAAAATATGAAAAAGAAAATAGAAAGTAACATATACCACATTTGTTTAAATAAAAAATATCTGATTAAACCTTATGAAGTAAAATTTTTACTCATATTTACTAAAATTGAATGATAAGTTACATTTTGATGAAAAAATTAAACAAACATACACATAAAAAATAATGTTTTTTTTCGATTAAACAAAATTTATATGAAAAGAGAGAAAATAAACATTTGACATTCAATTACCTGTGAAAAATAAACTATGTTACTTTATATTTTGTTGCAATGAAACACTCTCTTATTCGTAAATAATATGTCTATAAAATAAAAAAAATTATTATTTAGCAAAATGTCAGAGTATAATCTTGATCAAGTAGTTATAGTTATTTATTTAAAAAAAACTTATTATTCCTCATATCATGTTCTACCTTAAACTCCTAAAATGAAGAAAAATCGCATGTGCAATAATTTTATAATGTGTCATAAGTTCACATTAATAATATTTGTTCTAATAATATTTGTGCTATATTATGTTGATTGAGCAAGCTCTATTGAGGTCCTAAGTCGTACGTTAAGAAATTTTCTTTCAGACTTGGAGTTATCGTCAACGATTATAAATTAAAATTTTCAAAATGACTTAAGTATGATTGTTGATGAACTTTGACTTCATACCCTAAGATGAGACACAAGATTTTCTTGAAAAATAGCATAAAGGAAGGTTAGAGAATCTTTTTGAGAATCTACGATAAACATCGCGTTTCATCAACTACTAACCTAGAGATTTACCAATTAAAGGTTGACAATTTTTAGTAAGATAGTCAATTGGGATAAACATATTTATCCAGCAATCAAGTATCTTTATCCAATAATCTCAACTCTCAAAATTGGTTGCCAGTTCGTCCAAACTCGAGAAACACGAATCTTGAAATATGTGTGTATTGTAGACACTATTTATCAAATATTTATATATAAGTAATAAAATCTTTGAAAATTACACATTCAACGACCATGTTAAGACCAAAATCCTCGATAGTGTGTGCGAGTGTCTTAGATTGAGATTCTAAGCCAACAATAAACAATGACCACGGGTTGAAGTTTCATCTAAACTTCAAAATTAACAATTGATACATATTGTATAATATATACTAAATTTTAGTATCTTGATAAAAAAAACTAACATCCAAAATAGAAATGAGTCGAGATTATAGAATTTAATCATCACGAGGCCTACGGTGTGTGTCAAGTTTCAATATGGATGAATAAATTGATCCAATAATGAAGTATCTTTACTAAGAATTTCTCAGTAAAAAGTCCTAATCTTTACAACATTGGTCGAGAGTTCTTTAAAGTTGAGGATCATGAATGTGTATTGGATTTCCAAAGGACCTAAAATCGCAATCCCTTTCGGGGGCTAAATACCTTTGATCACAACCATAGGTACCAAAGAATAATGAAAAGAAGCCCAAAAAAATCAATAAAGAACATAACCTCCGAGGCCGGGCACCAAAAAGCTGCCACCCAGTATAATGTACCAACACCTGAATTTGACAAAAGCGATACGATGAACAGAATAAAACCATATCGAGTTATGATCCTGTCATCCCTACCCTTTTATTCTCCATAAAGGGGGCGGTGGGAGAGGATAAGAAATAAATAGCAGGATCTTAGAATTTGCCTCTTTATATATTGCATATCAAACGATAGACAACCCTAATGGTTGTCTGACGTTATGGGGGTAAAAGCGGGATCTCAATCTCGAGGGTGGGGATAGGCAAGTAGCACTTTTAATATGAGTATTAGGCGAGATAAGATAGGTCTGGCGAAATATCTGGATAAATTTGAGTCTACTATATATATATATATATATCAAGGTATACTATCTTTTGATTTTACTCAAGATACGATAGAAGATAGGTATGACAAAGTATTTGCCTAAATTAGAGGTTAGAGAATTATAGATTGGAGTTCACCTATTAAAGGTTAGGGTATAGTATCATGCCCCAAAAAACTCCGGAGTCTAAATAGGAAAACTCAATGGTCGTATGGTAGTGTGAACGCAAGAGTATAGCGTACTCCTGCCGCACGTTAGCTTGAACAATATATATACATATGTGTGTGGTTCAGGTTGGCGTAGGCTAAATATTAGTGTTTTGGTTGACAAATTTTGACATAAGTTCTAAATGGGACGTGACAGCAACATAATTTATGATTAGAAAACCAAAGCATCAGAAGTGAGTGTGCTAAATATTGGAAATTTGCAATATAGACATACTACAAACTCTTTTATGAATCAAGAACACAAAATATTTAGAAGATCCAAAATGATTTAAACATATAAATAAGTTAATTAATATAAATTATGAAATAAATTTCTCCGGCCAACGGACCGGGTAAAGAGCTAGTGAATTATTTGTGAGCAAATACAACACTTTAACCATTAACTCACTCAAACCAGCCATTTCAATTCTCCTTTAATTTCTTTATTGGTACGTAACCAAGTTCAAAAGTCATGGGTGGGAGCAAGTGAAGTCGGAACCCAAATATATTTTCTTATCTTGGCTAGCTAGTAGCTTCTAATTTTTTATTTATTTATTTATTTATTTATTTATTATTATTATTATTATTTTTTTTTTTTAGAATACAGTAGCTTCTAATCTTTTGCGATTGATGTTCAAGACATTGAAGAGTAGCACATTTGCGTGGCATTATAGGTGAACCATGAACACGTTGCTTTATAGGTGTATAAGTGAAGTTAGTATATAACCAATACTCGGATGTCAATTGTCATGGCATTCATAAAAAAAACATACATAAACTATATCTTCAATAGAAAAGAATTTTAAATGTGATTGTTAGAAGAAATTTGCAGGTTACCAGTATGTCACTTTATATGAATAACCTTGGAGTATGTTGATCAACCATTTTCTTGTTTTATTTATTATTAAAGTTTGATCAATTCTATTTAAGAAGACTAATATAAAAATATGCAATGTATTTGATTCGTGAGGATGCTTAATCAAGATATCAATTTCGTCTCGATAGAAGTTTGAGATTGAAAATGATAATTTTGATATGAGACACTTGATTTGTGTCTTGATTTATTGAACGCAATGTAACAATATATCATCGAACTATATTTTTGCCTTGTTGTAACGTTGTTGTGTTTAATATTTTGTATGTTTATCAAATTTTTAACTTCTTGTCTATTGCTTGTTAAAATTTAATGACATCGGCCTGGGCGAGAGCCCGAACCCTCATTCTTCGAATTAGTACACTACGCCACTTATATTGTTCTCAATTTTTCATTTCAAAAGTATTTTCTTCAAATAACATATATTAATAAGTCAATCTACATTAACATATACTTTGCATAAGCCTTATCCGACCTCACCTACTAGCTAACTACTTAGACTAGTCTAAAATGGAGATGCTAATCCTATTATCAACTATCTAATCTCCAAACACATGAAATTTCTAACATCATTAACTTGTGGGCTTGCTAAATGTCATGGGGAAGAAGGCCCAAATCCAATAAGTAGAGGACAATCAATAATGGTCTCCAGCTAGAAGATGCCACATGGCCACTTTCCAAATTCTCCCCTTACACAATCTAGTTAAGGTAGTTGAGCTTCAAACACCAAACCCTCTCATCCTTCTTTCCCTCCTATTTCCCCCTTTCACAAGTAACAAACTCCCAAACTATAAATTCTCCCTTTTCTCTAATCCAATCCAAACCAAACCAAACATACAAAACCTTCAACACTTGAACTCCCAATCCTCTCTTCCCCTTCCAAGAAAATCACATGGCATCTTTCAAGCCCTGTTCCCTTGTGCTTCTCATTTCCATGGCAGCTTCACTAGCACTAGCCTTCCTGATCTCACCCTCCAATGGCCAGATCACCACCCCGTGCTCGGCCACAGCCATCGCAGGCCTCACCCCTTGCATGAACTTCCTCACAAATAGCTCCGCCGCAGGCTCTTCCCCAACGGCAGACTGCTGCGACCAGCTCAAGAACCTCACCGGAGCTGGCATGGACTGCATGTGCCTCCTCGTCACCGCAAGCGTTCCTTTCCAGATTCCAATCAACAGAACCCTAGCCATCTCGCTCCCTCGCGCCTGCAACATGCCTGGCGTCCCTGTCCAGTGCAAAGGTTACCACTTCTTAGCAACACATTCCAATCGAATTTTTCGTATGTAGATTGATGGAGTTCTAGCAAAAGGGTACTAATGATTTTGTTCTTCTTTCTGTTGTGTATCTCTTGGTATGCAGCTGCTGCTGGTGCTCCAGTTCCTGCTCCAGCCCTGGGACCCTCTCTGGCTCCTGGTGGTTCTCCATCCGACGCACCTACAAGTGAGAGACCAACTCTGTTCATTGACATTCTAATCAAGCGATGAAAGTTGGATCGATTTGATGCTAAACAACTAAGAGGGTTTTTGTTTCTCTTTTTTCAGGCTCGGTTGTTCCTGAGACGCCAGATTCAGGAACTACAACGCCTGACCTGACTCCACCAACATCAACAACTGGAAGCAGGCCAACCATTAACACTTCAGCAGCAGCCTCTTACAGCTTCTCTCCATCTCTTGTGGTGCTTGCACTAGGATTTGTACTCTGCAAGTTCTACTAGCTAGATTCTGCTGCTCTACTTGCATTGCTTCTGAGTTTTGGCTTGTTTCCATGTTTATACGGCAAGTATTCTTTTGTGGATTTCTGTATTTGGTATATTGTATTTTGGGGAGAGGATTGAGTTCTTTTCCCAATTAGGGGATTGTTTATGAAGCCATAGTGATTATTTATTGCTGTAACATATATCTATGGATTTATAATAAACTAAGAACATTAGACTTCATTATATTCCTTGTCTTGCATGAGAACTATCTAATTCTCAGTATGGATGCTAATGGTTAACCTACTCCTTCCAACCAGATTATAGAACAATATGCATACACAGATTTCTACTTCATTTTGACGTAATTACAGAACAAAAATGGCCACTACTTACAACTTCAGTGGCTCTGCTAGCTGTGACAAAAATGGCGTGCCTTCTTAACTCCAACAGTACTGTGCAGCCAAATCAAATGCTGCTCCATCCGGGAAATGGACCTGGTCCCGTGTTTCAGGCACGCGAATGGCCCGTATTCCATCGAAGATTCGTGCTGCCTGCTGCGAAGTCCTCAACAAGGCTGTGAAGTCAGGATTCAACTGCTTGTGCTTGTTGCTGGCCGGGTTCCTCGTTTGATAATCTCTTACTTTGAGTTCTCTAACAATGGAAGAAACAGAGATAATTCTACTCCAAACGGCGTCGTTGGGGCCCAACAAACTTCTGGGATTTTCCCGCCTTCTGCTGTCCCCAGCTCTCGCTATAAAAAAGATCTCTCCGGCGAGTCAACAGTAACCAACCGGAGTGACTCAGAGAGTCAGAGTTCACTACTCGCCAGAACATAATTCCCCTCTCCTCTCACTTCCTTTTTTCTCTATCTCCGTCTTTCTCTCTCCAGATGACTAACGGTTTTGCGCGGATTTTCGCTACGGCGCTCTTACTCCTCCTTGCCGCAAACGCCAACGCCGCCGCCGCGGTCGCTCCATCAACGCCGTCGCCGGAAGACTGCGTCACCGACATGGTGGCTTTCTCGCCGTGCTTCGGCTACGTTTCTGCGCCGCCGAACGGAGTCCGCCGCCACCGACTCTCCGCTAAGTGCTGCAGCGTCGTCTTGGAGTCGTTCAGCACCGGCGGCAGCAAATGCTACTGTCAACTGGTGAAGCAGCCGCTGCTGTTTGGATTCCCGTTGAACCGCACCAGGATTGCGTCTCTCCCTGCTCTCTGCTCCAGGCGTCACGCGAACGACAGTTCCACCGCGGTGGCCAAGCTCGATTCCTCTCTGGAGTCGATCTGCGCAGGTTCGTTTTCTTGGAAACCGTTCTTGAATCGAGTACTGGACCGGAGATGCGGATCTGAATTCTGAGTAGCGTAGCGATGATGATCAGTAGCTGAATTTCGCAATTTCTTGATTCTCAATAACGTAGCGATGATGAATTGATGATGATGATCAGTAGCTGAATTCGCAATTTCTGGATTCTCAATAGCGTAGCGATGATGATGTTCAGTAGCTGAATTCGCAATTTCTTGAAACTAGTGGTTTTCGCGCCATTAGAGAAACGCTGAGTAGAGCACAGGCTACTTCATTTTATCTTTGGAAAGAACGCAAGCTTGTTAATGGCAGAAATCAGTATATACGTCGTGATGAGGGATTGGGAAGCGTCCTCGTTTCCTCATCTAAGATCTTTAACAATTGAAAGAAGCGGAATTGTTGTGTTTTCTGCAGCTTTGCCTCCTGTTCCCAGCTCGCACGATTCATTAAGAGAGCCGAGACCATCTGATTCTGGTAAATTAATTAAGCCTTAGAGTTTAGAATCAAGATCTTACCAATTCAGCCTATGGAATATTTACCATTTACGCAAATACTTTTGCAGGTTATGATAATGATACATCTGCTGCAATGAGTCCACCCACTGAATCTGCGCAAGCTCCCCTTGTATCTGGTAAACAACAAAACCTGATATACATTGTTCTTCCATGTCTGTATACTATAGTGACCCTTAGATTCAGACGATAGTATTATATCGTTTGATCGAACTTCCTGCAGTTCCTCGCAATAGGTCACATCGTCCAGTGGCTCCACCTGCTCCACCAGTGACCCCACTTGCTGAATCTGGCAAACATTCCCCTCCATCATCGACTGCTGCTGCTAGTCCTCCTCCAGTCCTGGATACAGATTATTCAACATACCAAGATGTTTCAATGGCTGCAGAACTTGGCTCCATCAGGACTTGGTTTCTCCAGGTAGCAGCAGCCCTTCTTCCATTTCTACTTTCATCACTCATCTAATGCTCTACCAGGATGAGTTTGACCCACCTGTTTCTTAATAATTGGTGGCACTCTGTTTACATGTAATGTCTGCAGTACATAGCTACTACTTCCTGAAACAACATTTGACTATCCTGATCATTGCATCATCTGTCTGTTTCACATACTCTTTTGCAAATAAAGGTCTGCACATTCTTTGGAATCAACTAAAGAACGCTGAATAAATTCCACAAGTTTTAGTGTTTTCCCATGTGAATGACAATACAAACTTCCTAGCCAGCTTGATTCTCGGTTTTAGGGTGATACTGAGTATAGACTTACTGGGGGAATGGGGGAAAACACGGGTTCTGAATAGAACTAGATATAGATTACTGTCCTAAGTACATAGGTTAGAACCCAGTATTACTTGATTACTTCCAACCATCAGACCATTCAGCTTCGTCGGTCCCAGGAACTTGAGCATTGGCCTGACACGAGTCTTGAACCCATGCACCTACATCGGCTGCTCGAGTATTAGCCTGGGATGACGAGTCTTGACCCCATTCGCCTTCTTCTCCTGAGGCCAGATGGTTATTTCCTTCGCCATAGTCACCACCATTCTCCTGCACTCCATATCCATCACTGAAATCCTGCCTTTCTGGAAGGGCACAACCTTTGTAGGACTCATGGTCTGAGCAGCGCCATAATAGCATATTCCAGTACTCATCCTGCAACAATAGTTTCAACAGCTTCACTTACCAACTGTTGCAACCTCAGCTTAACTAAACCATATTTAGAGCCAAAAGGGCACAGCATTCTCAGCACATTAACACGTCAAGACTATGCCGGGAAAACCCTGATAGTACATCACTTTAGCATGTTGATGCATGAATACCCAGAAGCCAAAAAGAAGGAAAAAAACATAGCCATGCCTCTTGCATTAAGACCAATGATTCATGAATGGCCAAAAGAAATCGGGTAAAATACCTTGCTGATGATATGTGGGTTTCCAATAAGGATAAGTAATGATATAGCACGGGTTATTGCCACATTGAACCTCCTTGGATTGCTCAAGAATCCCAAATAGTGGACCTTGTCAAAGTCATTGTGCACAATCGTCGACCGAACAGTAGACACTATAATGACTTGCTTTTCCTGCCCCTGAAACTGTTCAACGCTTCCAACCTTAACATCTGCCATATCCAAGTCATCCAGGACCTTCTTTATCTTCAGAACTTGCTGCCTGTAAGGAGTAATCACTCCAATATCAACCTCACTCAGATCTCCACAAGTCGTCAGCTTCTTGATCACCTCAACTACCTTGCTTGCTTCAATTCGGTTAAACCATGACGGGTTACTTCCTTCCCTTTCATCAAGCCCTTGGATACCAAAGAAGATTGTAGGAAAGTCATTGCCCGGTATAAAATTCAACAGTTTTAGCAAAGAAGTTGAACTTTCAGTAGAATCTTTGCAAGCCACCAACTCTCCATTGTAGAATAGCTTTGAAGGCAGATACAGAATTTCTGGATGGCAGCGGTAGTTCCTAACAAGCTTTGTCACGTAGTTTTCATCTTTTTCCAGATAAGATTCACATTCGAAAAGCCTCTCCAAGTATGACTTGGCAAGTCCAAATGATTCGGCATCTCTGGAGAGTATCACCGGACCCAATTGCATTGGATCTCCAGCAAGAACAACAACCGTATTCCTCTGGCAAAGGTTGGATATTGGAATCATGCTCTCTGGTTCTGAAGCCTGCCCCGCCTCGTCCAAGAAAATGTGGGAGAAATGACCTCGATCAATCCCTTCAGAGTAAAGAAGACTAGCACTCATATATGTCGATATGATGATCCTGTAGCGAGAGAGGGCACTGAATGGAGGACACTTGAAGACGTTGTCATCAAAAAAACAAAACCGTATGTGATCTTGTTTAACCTCCTCAAACGAACGGGCAGTTGCATTCAGCCGAAATATCTCGTTCTCACGAACACTGACAGCCTCCTCAGAGAGAAGCTTATCCAGCAAATGGTCTGCTGCACTGTTTGAGGGCGCACACACAAGAATCCGAGCATTCCTCCTGTTCCTATAAAGCTGAAGTATCGCTTCCACTAAGGTCATGGTTTTGCCTGTACCTGGTGGACCATATATGACGTATGGAGGACCTCCTGTACACCCGAGAATCATCTCTATCGAAGACTTCTGCTCTTCGTTGATATTTTTTGCTATCGGAATCAGAGACTTCGGTTGAATAAGCCTATGTTCATGGGCCTCAGATGGGAATAGGATCTCGGTATCCAAATCTCGAGCTGAATCAATGGCTTGGTACTGTCTCCTCATATTGACTCTGTTATAAGTGAAGTGCACATCATACAGATTCCCGTTCATGTGGCTCAAGTGAAACTCTGTGTTGAACTGTAAATACACTTCATCAGCCTGAACTCGGTGAACAAATCCCTGCAGAGAATGCAACCATTTGTGTCAACGAGTGATTTCACAGAAGCCATTCATGGACAAACATTTGACAATTCAAATCATCAAGACTATTAACAGCGAACATATACATATGCTGGCACCAGACCTGATAAGGGACAATAGAATCATCCGAATTCGCTGGCTTTGCAAATATATAATCTCCATGGACGAGAGAAGGCCTTCTCTCAGCAAGCCCTGGCACCACGAGCGAAAGAAAGTTCCCTCTTTTCTTCATTACAACCCGCTCCATATCGTAAGCCCTCATATCCTCCTGAAACCAACCAACAAAGGCATACTCAGACGAAATCCATCCATTCAAACAAACCAGAAACTTCAACACAAGTCAACACACAAGTTACCTCCAACTGTATTTCTTCCATGATCAACAGAGTCTTGAAGTACTCAGCATAGTTCTCTCTACTTAGACCTGATGTAATCTCTTCAGGTATCTCCTTGTTCTCAATCTTTTCTCTCGTCTCCTTTGGAATGTCATACCTAGGAAGCCTCTTCTTCACCGGTCTGCCCGGCGCCCTCCTAGGATTCGTGCCCTTAACGAATTCAGTAACGGCATAGTGATTCTTCTTCACGGTTCTCGAGTATGGCTTCCTGGAAGCCAAGGACTGGGATATCTTATCCTCCGCCAGGATGAACCCCACCCTCTCAATCCTGTCACCCAACACGTCGAAATGGACGACGGAAGTGTACATTCCGATCTCCTGTGGCTTGCAGGACAGCCACAAGGTCAACGTCTCGCCGGGCTGGATCATTCTATCCTCGAGAGCAAAACACCCGAGGAAACCGCCGGCAGCAGCATTTCCGGTGGAGGGAGGCGGCTTCATCAAGGAGAGCTGGAAGGAATCCACCGGAGTAGAGGCGTAGATTTTGGCCCACAGCTCGACGGCTTCGTCAGTGGAGTTCCTAATGGTGATGGGAGCGGCGGCCGTTTCTCCCACCGAAACCGACTGCGGCTTCCCGTCCTGCACGCGGAATGGGAAGGAGATCGCGACGGGACCATCCCCCGTTGGATCGTAATTGCAGACGGATTTGTCTTCCTGATAATCGATGAACCCAATTTCGCCTTTATCCCCGATTACGGAATACTCGCCGTCGTCGTCGTCCCATTTACTGCCGGCGACCGAGCCCATGAATACAAAAACCCCTAACCAACGACCCCCCTGAAAGGGAGAGAAATGGAAACCAAAATTAAAACCCAAAAGCCCCAGTCGGAAGGGAAAATCCAAACGGCGAGCCACTAACCTGCGGCGAACGGGGGCGAAGAGAACAACCAGAAGCAGGTACGGGGAGGGAGTGGTGGGTTACTCAGTTGAGTTCAATCAGAGTAGAGAGAATCGAGAGCTGTTGGGCCCTGATTTTCCAACCTAGTTAATCTGCTAACTTGAAAATTCGTTAGTATATACTAACTAATATTCAAAATGTATGAACTAATATCCAAGTATTCTAAGTATCTAGATAGCACAAACTAGTACTCAAAACATCACAAACTAGTATCCAGATAGCAGATACCAACTAATATCCACAATCAACCAACTAGTATTCAATATGGATACTCTTATGTGTTATTTGGATACTTTTATAGTGATTCTTCTTCACGGTTCTCGAGTATGGCTTCCCCTGATTTTCTATGTCTGG